CCGGGGGGGGCCTCAGAACCCCCCCCTCACCCCATGCCCACGCTGCTGGGGATGCAGCCCAGGGCACGGTTGGCTTCTGGGCTGCCAGCGCACAGCGCCGGGTGGTCCAGACCCTCTGGGGCAGCCCCGGGGACGGGCATGCACACCAGATCACCAGCACTGGATGCGGAGAGCAGTGGCGATCGCAGGAATTAGGGGATTCCTTTTTATTTTAAATTAACTAATTGCCTCTGAGGTCTCTCAGGAGAACCTGTGCTGCCGCATCCCCCAAGTGCTCGTGAAGCAAGCGGCACCAGGTTCCCCTGCAGCTACCGGACACCCACGCTGCTTCCCACGTGCAAAGTGGGTGCAAGGGACAGAGCCCTGAGGTGGAAAATCAAACTGCAAGGAGTTTGCGATGGCTCAGAAAAGCGGGGCAGGTTCCCTTTGATCTCCAAGCCAAAAGGCCAAGCTCACCTACGCAAGCAAGCAAGAAATTGGGTAACTTTTTCCCCTTCTGTGCAGCTGCTTCTGCCCTCTTCTGAGCAGGAGGAAGACACTTCCATCTCGTTTTGGCTACCTCTGATTTTAAGAATCAATGCTGCCCACTCTGGGCTGGGGACGGAGATTTTCTCCCCAGTTCCTGGACAGGGCATTGATCCCAGCTCAGCCGGGCAGCCGACCCCGAGGCTGTCACCTCTCCCTGGGGCTCTGCAGTTCTGGTCCCCCCTATCCAAGCCCACGGGGATGCCTCCAGGACGTTGAGAGGAGGCTTCTCTGGCTGCAGGGAAGGAAAAACTGGTTGGGGAGATAAACTTGAAGAAGGAAGTTCTGCTGAACAGCAGATAAGGCAGCATAATCTCCGCGAGGATGCGGGGAAGGGGCCGGGGTAAAGCCACCGTTTCTGCCCCTTTCCCCTCGCCTGAAAACAGGCAGAAAGCGTCTCCTGGTTCAAACAGCCCCAAATACCCCACAACAAAACCACAAAAGCACAGAAAATTCAGAACACACCGGGAACAGACTCCGAGCGCGGAGCAGAAAGGCAATTTGGTGGCCGGTGCACATCTGGCAGCAGCTGGGCAGAGCTGAGACCTGACGCAGTCACTCGTTAGCAGAGGGGGACCACGCTGAGGGCCAGCACTGGGTTGTGCTGGCCATCTTTCACCCTTGTTTGCCCAACCTCTTTGGAATAAACTTCATGCCTGTAGAGCTGCATCTGCACCTGGAGCTGCTGGTCCTGCATGTGCCAGCCCTGTTCCCGCTCTCCCGAGAGCCACCACAGCCACCCCGAGCCCCCCATGGGCTCCTTCCCTTCCACCAAGGAGGGAAAAACGAGCATCTTGCACTTACTTGCTTGGTGGAGGAGGAGGGCCAAGGACAGGCACCCCAAGGCGTCCATCGACCCGCGGCACACGGAGAGGGGCTCTCCGCACCCAGCATCTACTACAGCTTGTGGTGGCAAGAGGAAGACGCAAGCGCGTGCACCCTTGCGCAGAAGGATGGGTGGGGATAACACCACCGGCTTCATCCAGCGGCTGGTACGATCACAGGCCCTCAGGTGGTGACATCAGCCCTGGTGCCGGAAGGGGTGTGATGAGGAGGAAGAATCCCATGGCTTACGCCGAGTGAAAACTCGAGGTGAAAAACTCCATTTCCAAGCAAAGACAAGTGTGGCGGCTGGGACGAAGAGC